GTGTGTGTGTGTGTGTGTGTGTGTGTGTGTGTGTGTGCATTCAGTTTCCTATGAGCTAAACTCTTGAAATATATCCTTGCTTGCGGAGAGAAGGGAAGTGTATCTAAATCCTGCCAGTTTTTGTCTGCTCTGCATTAAAATTTTGTGACATTATATATTTGCAAATACCTAATTGTTATTATTTTTTTTATTGTGGAATCCACTAAGAGGGAACAGAGGAGGGGTATGGGGCACCTGAAACCCACACTGGTAATAAAGGTGTGTTTGCTATAACAAACGTGGTCTTTAAAGCTGTTTTAATTTGCTGTGTCTTTTGCTGTTCATCTCAAATGTTCATGTGATTAAATTCGTTTTTTGCATTAAACGGAACAACGTTTTTTGAGCAAATTTATTGCTGGCAGAACAAAAAAGTTTCCTGAATTTTTTACTTCCACTCTCCAATCTGTTAATGCAGCGTACTGTACTTCTTTTTTTTGACCATATGAGGGCACAGTCTCATCCAGGCCTTAAAGTGGCCAGATTTTCTACAATAGGCAAATTATTGTGAGCCCCCAACTCATAAACAGGGTCACTGAAGACAAAGACRATCAAAGACCAGAGCAGTCTACCAGGAGTAGCTCTAAGGGCARGGGGTTGTAAACATGTATATTAATATCTCCAGTGAGAAKGAGTTATTCAAGTCAAGCCTGTCATCAATAAGAAAAGTATTTTTCATTTACCAGCCATATGAGTGATTATTCCCAGAAGTTGTGGGTAATACAAGCCTCTGTGCTGAGATGTGTCCTCAGTTCTTTTGCACTAAAGGACGATGTGGGTGGAAATGTCAGGGGCTCAGGCTGAGCATGTCCTGCATTGTATCCATTRACACATTTATTTTCTGCATCAGTTTGAAGAAACTCAAAAGGAGTTTTCTCCAAACGCAACATCCCATCAGCTTGAGGCTGGTCCATCCTAAAGACAAGTTTCACATAACGTTTTCAGTGCAAGCTTGGAACTCCAGGTTTGAATTYAGAAAGCTCCCCGGATGGGGAAGTGAAATGAGTGAAAATCTTTTTGTGTTAGTTTTTGTGTTGTTGTTATTTTTCATACAACAAAGTTTGTTGGCTTTTTTAGTCAACTTGTGTTTTAAATGTTTTTTATCCGTCCAAACCAAATTTTGAGTTGAGTTGAAGGATGATATCGGACCTACAAACCCTGAAGTATTTTTCAAACAAATCAATCAGACATGTAAAAACCAGGAAGAAAACATGAAGATGTGCAAAAACATTTTGGATGTTGTCTGACTTCTAGTTTAGGATTCTAGGTTTTTGACTTAAAGCTGAGTGTTTCCTTTCATAAACCCATTCCCCCCTTTTCAGGGAATGTTTTGATTATTGAAGCAGTTAACCTTTGATTTTGGGATTGTTGTGTTTGTGTGCAAACCCGAACTTTGTGTATGAGAACTTGTAGCAGACGGTTTCATACCAAAGGACCTTATTTAGGTTTCAGAATCTCGATT